ATGTGCCCTCACATCATCATCATCATCATCCTTCTCTCTCTCCCTTGTCTCTCTCCCTCGTCTTCCTTTTCGTACACCCGAAGACCACCCCTGCGCCTCACTGTACATCCAAGCCCTCAGCCAGCTATGGAGGCTGGGCTATGACGCTGCCCTCAGCAGCGCCCTGCTTCCACACACGACCGCACGTGCACAGCACCTTGCTCCTGCGCTAGAAGCCAGCACACGAGCATAAGCTCCAGCAGCGCTGCCGCCAGCCAGCAAGTGCCCGAATGAATGGCCAGGCAGCGAGCTCTTTCCTATATGGAAAGAGCCTGCCTCATTCGGCAACCTGGCTGGACTGGCCTGGGCTAGAAGCTTCCGGTAGGCCCCAGGATGCTGCGCCTCTCTTGCAGCTACTGGGCCTCATTCGGTTGGGCCTCCCAACTGTCTGTGTATGAGGCTGCCATTCTCGTCCAGAGCCTGCATCGTTTTGGAAAGGCGTGGAAGGCCGTCGAAAGTCTCGCTGCTCGGCCTGTGTTTTCCTCAACCAACTGGCGCGACGAAACTTCCTGGACCCCAAATACGAAATTGACAGCCGAGGGCCTCTCGTAATTTGTTAGGCCCGCCTTCACTTAGGGCGGGCACAGATGCAACAGGGGGCCCTTAGGCCTGCCGAGGACCCAGATCCTCGCATTCCCTCCTCCTGTACTTCGATAGTCCTCTGAGAAGTCTTCTATTCTGCAGGCATCTTCCCTTTGAGATCTCTTTCGTAGCCTGCAATGACGTGAGGTGTAGTTCTCATAAGTCCTTCTCTGGTGAACCACAGATCTTCGTTGGGATCCAGATGATGTCTGGATCTGACCCGATATTGCATTTTTGGCTTAGGAGGGCAGCCTCTGCCCAGTGGTCGAGGAACAAGCATCAGACGATGCTCCACGATTTGGTCGGAGTCCACTTCGCCATCCATAACTTGGGGGCAGCATTGACCGTCTGGAAGGAAACTGTACAGTTTCTGCGAAAGGTGCCAGCTTGCATGCGTGAAAAACAAGGTGTGTCCGTAGATGAGTTGGGACGCGAATCACATAAGAAGGTCCATCCACCTGTTCCCCCACTATGTCCAGGATCTCCCAGGGACCGAAATATTGTGGCATTAGATTTCTAGATATTCCCATTTCCTGTCCCAGTTCAGATGACTTTACCCAGACCCTTTCCCCTACTTGAAAGTTAGAAGGTCGTCTGTGTTTATTCTCAGATGCAATCATAGCATTCTGAGATTTCCTCATGTGCTCAACGGCCTGCTGCAACATCTGGTCGTATGTGACAGCAAATCCTATGCTACCGGGTGCTGCAGTAGCCTGTTTTTCAGGTAGTAGGAGATCGAGGGCGGAACGGGGCTTCCAACCAAGATGCAGTTGGTTGGGAGTCATGCCAGTAGTGCTATGTACAACGTTGTTGTACAGGCTGGCGACGAGAGGTAGTTTCTCATCCCAGTCATCCTGGCTTGGCTTAATGTAGTGACTTAGTAGATGCTGCACTACTGTGTTCATCTGTTTGACCTGTCCATTTGACTCAGGGTGATTCCCTGATGTCATTTGCAGTCTGGTTCCCATCTGTTGGGCAGTGTTCTGCCACAGTTCGCTCATAAAGTGAACATCCCTATCGCTGACGATAGACTTAGGTAAACCAAAGTCCCGTACCCAGTTGTCCATGAACAATTTGATGACATAGTCGGTTTTAGCAGTCTCAGGCATAGCGATAAGTCTTGCATACTTAGAAAAGCGGTCTACTATAATGAAGATGTGTCTTTTCCCAGACCTGCTGGTCACAAGAGTATCCATGAAGTCCATGGAGACACTCTGACCAGGACCTTCAGGAATCGCTAAGGGCTTGATGAGCCCAAGCGGAGCCTGAGTACTAGGTTTGTCACGTTGATAGGCTTCCAACTGAGTCTTTATCCTTCTCTTTATCCTTCTGCTTTATCCTTCTCTTTGAACTTACGGATGATCTCAAACACAACTGAGTCTTGCTGATAGGCTTCCACCAATGATCGAGTTAAATCGTTAGATATACCGAATTCGGTTACTATTGCGCCCAGGTAATCTGCCCGTTGAGATAGTGCATCCACCACCTTGTTGTACTCTCCTTTGATAGGATCAAGTTGATAGTCATACATGTCTATCACTTGTATCCATCTCTTGAGTGCATCTGAGAGTACCGGTTGTGTCTTGATCCAGAGCAAGGTCTCATGCTCAGATCTCACGTAGAAGAATCTGCCTAGGAGATAATGTCTCCAATGAACCAGCGCTCTATATAGGGCATAGAGCTCACACTCATACGTGGACTTTGCTAGCTTTTGAGATGGCATGTTCTTACTCATATACTTGATTGGTCTTTGGTCCCTCCTTTTGCGCAAGGACCGCGCCTATGCCATATTGGCTGGCGTCTGTGGTCACAACAAAGGGTTTATCAGGATCAGGAAGTTTGAGGACTTCATAGTGGGTCAGAGCATACTTCAGTTTCCTGAAGGCTGCCTCACACTCTTCAGTCCACTCCCAAGGGGTGTCAAGTCGAGTTAGATCTGTTAATGGGGAAGCTATAGTACTATAGTTCTTAACAAACGGACAATAGTAGCCCGTCATCCCCAACAACGATCTGACCTCAGTAACAGTCTGAGGTCTAGGCCAATCACGTATGCTGGCCACCTTAGCATCATCCAACCTCAATCCATTCGCTGAGATTTCATGACCCAAATACAAGATCTTGGAGCGACCGAACTCGCATTTCTCCAAGTTAACCTTGTACCGGTGCTGTCTTAGGAGACCTAGCACTATTTTCAAGTGCTCAGTGTGCTCCTCTACAATCCTACTAAAGATAAGAATATCGTCGAGGTTCACGACGATAAACTTGTCTAAGTATTCACGAAATATCCTATTAATATTGAGGAAAACCTTGAAACGTTGATATGCGGGATTCCCCTGGACTGGGTGCGCATTCTGCGCAAATGACCACGACTGGAAGAAGGGGACTGGGTATCTGTACCAGACGACTCAGAAAGTGTGGGAAGTGTGGTGGACGCATGGTCGGATGAAACGCTGATTAATCTGTTTCACATAGGCAAAGATAACGTCCTTACCCGATACTCTCCGGAGGTAGTGAGATGGGGAAAAACTAAGGAATTACAAAGAATGCGGGTGCTACGGGATAAGGAGGTATGGACTGCATGGGGAAAAACTAAGGAATTACAAAGAATGCGGGTGCTACGGGATAAGGAGGTATGGACTGCATACCAGCCAAATACCTCACTGGTTGATCTCCCCCTCGATCCCGAGGAATGGCAGTGGTCACAATCACGGCAAAGCAGAGTCCGGGGGAAGACAAAGCTACAAAACCTGACTGTGAAGGCAACATGCAACATACCGCCTGCTACGCCCCAAAGTGAACATTAAGGAAAAGGTAAAAGAGAGATGGAGATCACAACTAAATGTAGGAGCCAAGGTGATCCGTCCTATCCGTTGGTTCACTGCCACCAAAGCCAGGCCAGCAAAGATGGCCTCACTGCAGTCGCAGATAGAACATTGTTGCCTACCCACCAATGACTGGTTGATCGATCGGACCCGTCTGGAGCAGAAAGGACAGGCGTTGTCGTGGTGCAAAGCGTGCCGCACCGTCTTCCCCTCCCGTAGAATCCCGAAAACTATTGCTCATATTCATGCAATGCCCGGGTGCTGTCCTCACATGGCGATGGTGGGATAGAATCTGGTCCCGTCTAGACACTGGGTCAAAATGGCCTTGGGACTGGAGAGCCCTACTGTGCGAAACCTGGTCCTCCCCCACGGATAGCCCTTTCGAAAACACCATGTCTAAAATAGGAAGGAGAGTTGTCATGTGGGCCCTCTGGAGGAAACATTGCATATATGCCATAGAGGGCGCCCGAATGGCGGAAGGAGAGGTAACAGACATGATAAAACAATATGTTCAACAAAAATTACAGTGGTAAAGAATAAAGAACGATTTGTTTCACTCGGCTAAGGACATAACACAATCGATCCAGCAATTGTCAAGAGACTGGTTGGGCAGCGAGAATGGGGGCTGGATTGCCTCTGTCAGATGGGAAGGCCGGCACATCCAGAGGGGCCACCAGGGAGTGTTTAGAAGGGACTACAATATTTGCTTCAAAGACTGGACAAAAGTAGGCCAGGAGTTCCCGCTGCGACCAGCCACCGAGTTTCCGGATCCCTTTCCGCCCCATCAGTTGGCAATGGTAGACCTGCATTGGTATGGAGCCGACGGTGCACTCTGATCTAAAGGTGGTGGAAAGACAAGAGGATACGGCCTACGTTTTAAGGAACAGACAGTGGATACCACCTTCAACAGCAGATCCTTCAGTACACGAAGCAGGCAAGCATCTCCAGCTCTCAAGTCCGGATCAGACAGCAATGTAGCTAAGAGGAGTAAGCTAGCATGTATACAAGTCTAGCACAACAATGTAGCTGAGAGGAGTAAGCTTACAACAGTCAGAACCTAAGTCAAGTAGGCTAACTTAGGCAGGGGTGAGGGGCGGTACATCCTTCCCAAAGGAAGTAATCAATGCCGTCCACTCGGACCTCTCAACCAAAATGGGGAGGAGCGTGTGTGTGTGGTTATTGTATTCAACTTTGACTTGCCGGGGGAATAGGAACCGGACTGTCGCTCCCCAGAACGACAGGAGCCGGAACCGAGAGGTTCTGAAAAAAAAAAAAAAAGGTATGTCTCAGGGGCATTGCATAGGCCAAAGGGCATCACCACAAACTCGTACAGACCATACCTGGTCTGAAAAGCGGTTTTGTGTTGATCCTCTGGTTTAATGGCAATTTGATGGTATCCGGACTTTAAATCTTAGTAAACATCCCTGCACTCTATCCAGTAGGTCGTCGATGCGGGGTACGGGCTTTGCGTTTTTAACAGTGATGGCATTGAGGCCCCTATAGTCAATGCACATCCTTAGTGTACCTCCTTCTTAGGAACAAATAAGACTGGCGCACCGTAAGGGGAGGTACTAGGCCGAATCCATCCCTTTTCTCTAAGCTCCTTGAACTGGTGGCGAAGCTCATCCAACTCCGCAGGAGACATCCTATAGATTCGTCCTCTAGGCACCTTGCTACGTAGGACAACCTCTATTGCATGGACCACCTCCCGTTCTACCACGCCTGTGGGCTCCTCAAAAAGGTCGGAATATTGCGCGACGACTGATTCTATCTCTGGGGGTGTTTTAACGGCCTCCCCTTTCTTAGAGACAAAGACTAGATACATGCCCTCCTCGCGATTCTGCTTATAATAGTTATAGAAAGAGGAGGCACACATGCAGCCCCAGTTTTCCACTAGACTGCTAGCTTTATACTTTTGCAGTCTAACGGTCCTACCGTTTGACAGCTTGTGTATCAACACCTTGCTATCCCAATCAAACTGAGGCCGAGCGACCTCAAGGTAGTACATGCCTAGTAACATGTCGAAGGGCAGTTCGTCGCTAACGAGGAATGAGATTTTGTGTCTCACTTCCCCTCCTCCATAAGAGAAGGAACAGACTACGTCCTTGACATAGTCCTTAACTACCATTTGGTGCTTGTTGGCTAGCGTAGAAGCTACAGTTCTGCTAAGCCGCTGCACTTGGTCCACTAAGCGCAGTCTATCCACACAAGCACGGTTGATGAAGTTTCGTGTAGAGCCTATGTCTGCGAAGGCGCCTACCTTGCGGCCACCTACATCAACCTCTACCACGAAGTGCTCACCTTTTGGACCTCTACTAATCATCGCCCAAGAGTCTCTGGGGTCCTTCCCTGACCACTCATCTCTAACTCTTCTAGGGCCTTAGACACATCTCTCGAACAGAGCGTCGGTGGGTCTGAATGAGTCTGTGGGGCGGTACGCGGGTCACTAGCCCTAGCCAACGCCTGTAGTGGGGAACGCAACGTTACCACTTCAGCGCGAGTAAAAGCGGCTAAAACTCCTATTGGCCCGGGGTGTTTTCCTGCGAAGTGCTCGCAGAAGCACTCTCAGGGTTCGAGGATAGTCCCACCACCGTTGGTGAGGCTACCCTCGTTAGGACCTTCTAACCTCGGCACGTTCTCGACGTGTGGCCATAGTTGCCAAAGTTCATGCACGTACCCCTAGCAGCTCGGTCCCTCCACACCTCATACTCTAAACCAAGTTTCACCCAGGCGGGTGTACCTTGGTCGCCCTGACCAATGGACCGTACTACCTTTTTTTTCCCGGTCTCCCTAGCCCTTTCTTTGATGGGCGCCACGACTCCCCCCCGAAGTCTCGCTGGCCCCATCGTGCTCTGTCTCCTCCCAAGGTCTGGGAAGTTGTCAATTTTTGTCGTCTGACCATCGTGGCCGACGAACATTAGTTGCCCTTTCTTCTTCCAGTCCTGGGGTAGTCTCTTCTTCCTACCATCTCCTTGACTCTGATGTACGGACCCCAATTTTGCCTCTATATCTAAGGCCTTTTTGCTGAAGGAGGCGAAGTTGTGCTGCTCGACATAGGCCTCATCCACCAACTTTGTCCTAACCTCTGAAGGCAGACATCTTAGGTAATCCGCGAGGAGAACCTGCTGGTCATAGCGCACACCAGGTACCACGAGCAGACGTTCTACAATATTTGTGAGCTCTCGAACATTCTTGAGCCTTCTGGCACAAAGACTGTTGATTGCGTCTGTGGCCTTTTGAGCCCATTGAGGGTCATGCCACCTGTTATACACGGACCGTGCGAATTCTTCCAATGTCTGGGTCTGGGCCCAGGCATCGAAGTTATGACCGTAGCCCTGTTGCTGCACTAGGCCATTCAACCAGCGGGCTGCTGACCCTTCTAAAAAGGAGGCAGCCACTACAACTTCTTGCTCCGGCCTGGTAAGCTTGTGCCTCACATAGGTAGGCACCGTCCTTACCCAGGTATCCAAGTCCTCATCCTTCTTCCTGTCGCCAGAGAAGGGCTTAGGACTCAGCAAGGGTATTTTGGGCATCCACTGCATAGGCTGCATTGGCCCAGGAGATTGCTGCAGTGGCTGCATAGGCACCGAAACAGCTTGCTGCACACTAACATGAGCCTGACTTGACAGTGGGACTGTAGTAACCACTGTCGTGGATGGTACGGCACAAGTTCTAAGAACCGGACCACTAGTCGCTACATAACCACCTGGAGGGGACATGCCAAACATAGGTGAGAATGAGGGCCCAACCGGCGACGGCGTCATCGATGGACCCGCAACCGATGGGGGAGCTACAACAAACTGAGGCTGCCTCATCACCGGACGAGGAGCCTGTAGTGCAGCCATAATTCGTTTCTGGCCTGCCACTAGTTCAGCCAACACCTCCTGCTGAAAAACCTGCATCTCCGCCACACACAGGAGCGAGTTACGCAGCGCTCGCATCGCAGGGTCAAGTGTTGACTCATCTAATGCTTCTAATCTGCTTAGCTCCTGCAATCTACTACCTAGTCTAACTTTTCTCATGATTGCTCTTCTTCTTCTCTCTGCTGCCTCATCCAATTGCCGATGTAGCTCATCCTGAAGTTCTTCTGCTTGGAGGATTTCATAATCCTCCAGCATGAGTTGAGCCTGTTGGCTGACTTGCAAGCCAACACTCTGGCTAATGGAAGTCTGAGAACCACTCTGATTGACTCCTGACGAAGTGGCCTGTGAAGAGGCCTGCGACATGGTAGAGGAAGTAGCCATGGTCGTACCGGAACTAGCTGTAGTTCTAGACCTGGCGCTGTCCTCAACCACCCTCACTCTTCTTGCCGCTGCTCTCTCTCTAGCCTCTCTCCGCAGTCTCCTCTCGTCTCCTGGACCTAACTCTAGGAAAGTCAAAGGTCGACTAAGAGCTGTTCTACGAGTGGTCCTACGGTCGTCCACTAACAACTCCTCCTCACTACCACTTGCATCACTCATGAGCTACAGTGTGCGTGATCTAAACTAGAATCCACACTGAATCCTACCTCAGCGTGACACACAACCGACTATGATACACAACTAACTTCGATCGGCCTGGATAGAAAACAGTAAGGTGGTTAGGTGTCAACCAACGTCAGATCCTACAGGGAATATTAAATCTACTAGATGCCCCGTTGCGGCTTCGCCCGCAAAAACAGAAAAAGAAAAAAACACAAAAGAAAGAAAACGCATAAGGAACTGCCCTATCATATGCCGCTTCTTTCACAATAAGAAAAAGAAGAGCCTAAGAGTAGACGAAAACCCGCGTGCAAGAAAATAGCAAGGAATACCACCGAACATTCTTTTTTCTTTATCTTTGCGTGTTTTGTTTGGGGAGCCGTTACCTTTGCAGCATCGTTTTTGTTTTGTGCAGTGCAAGAACTCTGGACTTTTCTGAGAAAATCCAGTCCGTCGTCCCGTTGATGTTTTTGGTAAAGATTCGGAATCAGACTTTGTTTGCTGTGTTCTCTGGAGATGTTTGTGATCAAGCGATCTTGCATGTATGCCCCGTGCTTACTTGTTGATTTTTGACGCTATGTGTGCAAGTGCATGCGCGTGTGGGTGAGTCYCAGTTTGGTGGGCTCCGATGATGTCAGTGATGATTGGCCCGGGGAAGTTGTTGGAAGGCGCCTCCAACTATAGGAGTGTCGTTGATGTTAAGCAGGTTTTGCATTGTATAAATGAAACAGTCAGCATTCAATCTGCTTGGCAGTTGCTCTTTGGGTGGGGGACTTGTCGGGAGTAGCATTGCCATGAGAGCCATAATGTCGGGCGTGCATCTTGGAACATTTCCAGGAAGGCAAAATGCAAAAAAGAAACGTAGCACGTGTCAGAGTCACATAATGGACAGCTTGGCACAGTCCCCCCCCTCTCTC